AGCTTAATATGTCCGAATATAATTGTCGGACAAAATAGCATGAAATACACCAAACCCTTACCTATAATTTACATTCAGAAATCTTTTAATATTTAAAATTTTATTCAAAATCGTCAAGTAAAATTTCATAAAATTGACATCTTTATTAAACTTAAATTTTAAAATTTATAAAAAATAAATTATATATTTTATTTCACCATTGTATATAATTTATAATATTGTAAATGAATTCTATTTATGTAAAATTAAATTTATTAACATACATAATATATGAAAAACATAATTTAATTGGATTTTACTAAATCTAAGGTTATTATTATAGAATACCCTCAATATTATATTTTTAAACACAAAACCTATAATTTTAAAGCTTGTCTGATTTTTAAAAGAGTGTTTAACTTACATATAATGAGTATTAGTATTTTATACTGTTATTACCATAATAAAGCCTAATATCACGATGTTGATATATATTCTTGAAAAAAACTCCTTTTATCATTAAAAATAATAACAGATGAGGGAATTAAAATAATTGGCACAAATATATAAATTATAAAATTTTCTAAATTTTAACTTATAAATATTACTGGTGTTTTAAAATTAAGTTCCTACGCCAACTATTCTAAGATATATATTATAATTTTTTCTTTTTCATTTTTTATAATATGCCGTTCTTTTTTAGTAACTTTCGGTCAGTGGCGTAGCTACGGGGGTGGTTTTCGGGTTTGGACTTCTACCAGAGCAAATTTTTTTTTAGATTATACGTTGAAAAGAAAAAGTGATTTTTAAATACCATTAATATTTATATTTTTTGGTTTTAATGTTGTGAAAGGATATTATATTACTATTGAAATTATTCTGGGTAGTCATTGAGAATAATCTACTAAATTATAATAACATATTATTGATGCATTTAAAAAAAAAAATGATTTATAAGATAAATCCGGCCAAAGACCCGTTAGAGGGGGTCTGGGGGGGCGAAGCCCCCCAGGCTTTTATATGTATGACCCCCTCTAAGGAAAATTTTTAGCTACGCTACTGCTTTCGGTTATCTAACAGCGAAAACTATAAAGAAAATAGTAAATTGATAAAAAATGGTAAGGCCTAATCATGTTAACTAGCTAGCAAAATACCTCCCTATTATGAATATTTTTACTATTATAATGATAAAAAAAATTAATTATGGTTAGAAAAAAAAATATATATGTAAATCACACTATATTCAATAGAATTGAAATGTGGATTAAAGTCGTAAACCATTGGATATGCCAGTTGACAGAAGTCTACTAAAATATGATATAAGTATTGAAACTTAAAACCTTTAACTTGTAGAAAATGTTAATTCTATCATAAAAATATCCACATTATAAGCATCTTGTTTATAAATTTCGTTTAAAATTTACAAAATATTTAAAATAATAGAATATTGAATTTTTTTAAATATAAATTTTAGCTAATGTTTAATAAATTGCTTAGAAAAATTAATTTTTTTTATAAACAGTTCAATTTAAATAGTACGTTCACTTTAACTAAACGAAATTGTTTTTATAGCAAAATTTATATATTTTTAGTACGTTTTAGTATTTACCTTAATTTAATTATTTATATTATATTAATAATTAATAAAAGAAAATTTATAAAAAAAAAGATTTTAAAAGTTTATCGAAGATATGCAAGATGGGTTCTAAGAAATTCCCAATATTTTTAATATTCAAAAGTATCCTATATTTTTTTAAATTCTATTTTAAATTTAAGAAAATCGCCGCTTATCGCGATAACCTATAATCAATTTTCTAACTTATGTTTTTCTTAACTAAAGCAAAAAAATAATGAATCAAAAAATAATCATTAAGGGAGACCTACAGTTTGCTAGCCCTAAAAGGCAAACATTAATAAATTTAAAACTACTTGATAATATTGAATTATCTTATTTCATTCCACTTATTTACTTATATCATAAATATATATATTTTTTAAAAAATTATAATTTTTCTAATAATATTAAATTTTTCCGAAAAAAAAATATTATGGAAAAGATGAGCTAGGCCCGGAGAATGACGAACCTTTCAGTGAATGACCGGGTTCCGGTAAAAATTTAATAATGATAAAATTAGATGTGACAATTAGTTTGTATCTAATATTTAAAGAATAGCAAATAAAATAATTTTAAAATGAATTAGTATCTTTATATATGAGTATAACAGCATAAAAATTAGTGCATCTACTTTAAAAAGCTTATTCAAGCATACAATTAATGTATTTTCTCATACATATTGTTCATTCTAGATCTTTATGGTCTTAATATAAGTTTAAATAATTTTAAAAAAAGCCGTTTTCTGGAACTAGATTACTTGAGAAAGTTTAACAGCTTCAGACTGGGTTCTCTTTATTCCTTCTAATATTAAAATATATATTTATATCCATCTTGGAATATTCTACCTTGATCTAAAATATCAAATATAAGGGCAAACATATATTTTTATTAATTTTCTAAAAAAATGTCATATACTATCATTTTGAAAGCAATAAGATTGAAAAAAAATTAAGGTAAGTAAAATAAATAATTCTCAAGTAAAACAATAACTTGACTAGTTCTATTTTTTTAGATAAATTCTCGATAATACCATATTTTATTTTATTTTTTTAGAATTAAAAAATTAAATCATAATTATTTAGATTCAATAGGACTGCCAATTTTTTTTAAAATATTTAGACGAAAGAAATCTTTTAACCTAAATTTAGATAATTTTGACCGGCTGAATTTTCTTTTACTTTTACCATGTTATGAGTATTTTTATCAGGACACTAATGAAAGTTAATAGAGGGGTTAAAGGGTCAAAAAATCTAATGTATTAAAGTAATTATCCACAATAATAGAAAAAAATTTAAAATAAATTTTTTAAACAAAAAATGATAAATGTTTAAAGTAAATAAATTTAATTTATTTAAAAGAAGTACGTTCACTTAATCTTTTTTTTTTTTTAAATGAAATATTTGTTTTAAAACTATTTAATATTTATAATATATTAATAATCAAAGTTTTATTTTGAACTTGTTTTTTTAAAAAATGGTTTTAAAACAAATTTAATTTAAAAAAATAGTGGTTTAAGTGAACTTCCTAAATTATAAAAATTTAATTACTCTAAACATCATTTTTTGTTTAAAAGATTTGTTTTTAACATTTTTCTACTATTGTGGATAATTACTTTAGTACATTAGACTTTTTGACCCTTTAACTCCCTCTGAGTATACCTTCTGTGTCAATAGTGTCCGGATAAAAGTACCCAGAACAAGGCATAAGTAAAAACTCTACCTAATAAAATTATTTAAATTTTGGTTAAATTTTCGCCAATATTAAAAAAAAATTTACAGTCATATTGAATCTAAATAATTTAATTAATTTTATTTGATTCTAAAAAAATTAAAAAAAATATGGCATATTAATTTAAGAATTTTTCTAATAGAATACACATAGTAAAGTTATTTATTACTTAGAAATTATTTATTTTGCATACCTTAATTTAATCTTTTGCTTTTCATAATTATATGTATAAATAAGCTTTTTAAAGTAGATGCACTTATTTTTATACTATTACTTGATAAAAATAATTTAGATTTTGAAACAATTATTTTATTTGCAAATTTATAACTTTTTGAATCGAATACGATTGAATCCGCTACGGACCAAAAAAAATCTATTAGTATTTCAAAAACAACTCAACGGAAAGCTCATAATTCTCCTGATATCTTTTTCCAATTATTTTTTTTTCTGGGAAATTAATATTATTAAAAAAAATTATAATTTTTTAAAAAAATATTAATTTAAGTTGAATAACTAAAATTTATTCAATATTTTCAAAGTTTAAATTTTATTGACGTTTGCCCTTTTAGGGCTCGTTTGCTCAAAGTTTCCCCTAATGTTGATTTTTTGTTATAGATTAAAAGAAAGAAGATTTAAAGAATTTCATTGAAAATTGATTATCAGGTGATTTTCTTAAATTTAAAATCAAAAAAAAATATTAGATACTTTTGAATATTTAAAATAAGTATTAATAATTTATTTTGGGAATTCCTAAGCAGTCCATCTCTCATTTCTTCAATAAATTTTTAAAACCTTTTTTTATTAATATAATAGAAATTAAAAATGTCAAATAAGAGGTATTTTAAAAAATATAAACTTTGCTATAATAAATAAATTTTATTTAGTTAAAGTGAATGTACTATTTAAATTGTTTTGTTTACAAAAAATAATTTCTCTAAGCATTATTGAACTGTAAAATTAATATTAAAAATAATTCATTAATTTATAATAATATTTTTGTGATTTTTTAAAAAAATTTATATACATGATGCTCGTAATGTGGATAATATCTATGGTACAGATAACATTTTCTACAGGTTAAATGATTTAAATAACAATAATATTTAAATATATATATCATATTTTAGTAAACTTCTGTCGACTAGCGTATCCAAAAGTTTACGACTTTAATGTACACTTCAATTCTACTGAGTATAGTTTAATTTACATATATATATAGTTTTTTTTATAAATTTTAAAATTTATATTTAATGATAAAAAGGTGTCATTTTTATATTACTAGTAATATATATATTAATAAAAACTAACTAAGTTTGTAGATTATCAGGGCTAACTGATTTTTATAAAAAGCAATTTTAAATAAAATTTTAAATAATAAAAGATTTCTGAATGTATTATATAGGTAAGGGTTTGATATTTTATAATATTTTGTACGACAATTATTTTTAAACATATAAGATACTAATCAAAATTACACCAAATAACCTTTGTATTCTCATACTCCATGTAAAAGTCATAAAAAATTTAAAGTTTAAATCAGAATTTTAAAATATTTTCAAAAAAATATACTAAACGGAGCGTAATTAAAATATTTGTAAAAAATTCATATATTACGATGTACATAAGGATATTATAAAAAAAATAAAGATATCGAACAGACGCATCGTTGAATATGGTTGACGGTTTAGTTATTTGGGAGATACCACAAAGGCTATCTAATAATTTTTCACATTTCTATTGGAGTTATTTCCTTGATGATAATTACATAAACGATTTAAAATTGATAACTAAGGCACTTAACGCTACGGTAATAAAAATTATATTTATATGTAACATTTTGTTTAATGTAAATTAAACATATGACTTTTTTTTGCATGAAAGTATAATGTTATATAAAATCTTATATTAAAAAAAAACGTTTAAAATAAGATTTTGCCAAAAAAGACCCTAATCTATCTGCCATCATTCATAAAAATCTCGAGCTAAATCAATATAAAATCCGTAAAATAGAAGCTTTTACTAATTGAAAGTATAATTTAACATTTTCATATATAGTTCTATATAGATACGAATCCTGAATTATTAAAAGATATCCTGGCCGAAGAAGATATCACTTCGAATTTAACCTACGGGATGCAATTTGTACCAAATGAAACTCACGTTTATAATTTTAAAGATTATAGATATATTACGAACGAAACAGCCACAATGGTAAATAATTTATCCCTTCTATATTTGTCGAATATATTTTTTAAATTCTTTGTTTTTAAAGTTGCGATTTATACAACCATACCGGGGAATACTTGAAGTTCATGAATTCCATGAATCATATATAATACTTAAAGGTTCGTTGAGAAACCCTTTCTCAAAATTACTGTCCATATTATTCAAATATAGTTCAATTTTATATTCAATACCCAAAGTTAATGTCATCCTGCAAAATTGTCATAACAACAGTAAAATTAATTTAATTCCATTTTATTCTATTATTATGTGTTACTATCCTATATAGCCCTTGGTATAGCCAACTTTGAATCTAGATTTGAAAAAAGTTAATTTAAAAAAAATATATTTTAGTCATTTATAATAATTAAATTGTTAATCAAAGCAATTTATATAGACCAACAAAGTCTTTCTCATTACGTGTCATTTGAAGGAATTTACAATTTAGTTATCTCAGAAGGAAATGCCACAATCTTTATAAAGTTGATTAAAAATATAAAATTGATAAAAATTAAAGCAAAAAATATATAATAGAAATCTGCCTTTGTATCCATTTAGTAATTTAGCATTTCCCCACTTGCATTTTATTGATTTAATATATAAATCCGTGATACAATATTACTATGATGGGTATATTTACTATTTAAACATATTCCACACCCCCCTGGAAGACATGAAAAATGCGTTAAAATATTGGGAAGATTTTTATATTTCAGAAAATATTACGGTAAATTAACCACTTTTTAGTAAATTCATAAAAAATTCTATTTTTAATCTAACAAGTTGGTATAAGTTTATTTGTTAATAGCAATTCAGGATATCTTAGGAGAGTAATAAATTGATCAATCCTTATTAGTTATAGGACGGGTAACCACCTAAAAATCAATCAAAGTTATATCGTTAGTTTTAGCATTTTTACAAACGAATGGATAATAAAATTTCTTTACATCTTTTAAGCTTATAAGGTAAACGCTCATATTCCCTTTATTAATTCAAAAAATTAATGAGAGATAACCTAACTTGCAATAAGAGCTTTTTAAAAATGAAGTTATTTATAATATCCTATTGTTTTAAAGTATATTACCTCATTTTCAAAAATATTTAATAAGTTAATATAGTACATAATTAAATATACTCTATTATGAATATATCACAAATTTCTTTTAATAAAAATAAAATAAGATGATAATACAGGTAAACTCTAATATATCTGCTCTTTGCAATATAGTGTTAATCTGCATCAATGATGGTTCAGAATTTCGTATTCACCTAGGAATGAATAAATATGTAATGAGGAAATGTATTATTAATTATTTTTTATTCAATAGATATTATAGAAATCAAATTCCCCATTTTTCTATCGTTAACTTCCTAATTTATTAATAATATTATATATATACCATTATTTAAGGCAATCGTTGAACAAAACAATAAATATTTGACCCTGAAAATTTATTACAATGACACTGTCGAGAATATTATACATCATGATTATATAATTTATAGCATAATGTGTTATCGGAATTTTTTGCAGACCGAAGATCAGTTAATAAATGTAACTACTCCTTCTACTTGGAATGTTACGAAAAAATTCTATTTATCATATTCATAATATTAATTGATTAGAGGAATGCATAAATATATAAAATTTTATAATTTATATTATAAATAATTTTATTGGTTAAGGGTGACATTTTTTTAAAAGAGATTATTACTATTTAATAAAATATTTGCAGGAAAGGGGTTTGACTAAATACTGTCTTGCTAAACTGTCTTGCTAAACTGTCTTGCTAAACTGTCTTGCTAAACTGTCTTGCTAAAAAGCAATTAATCACAATCAATCATAATTTGATTATAAAATATCTTTTAAAAAAAAATCAAAAACATTTTTTTTATTTTATATAAATCAATTTTAAATTAATTAAAAAATTGAGATTAAATATCAAATAATTTAAATTTCTATTTTTACTTAATATTATTGAAAAAAAAAAATTTTTCAACTTAAATTTTATTTTTCAATTAAAAAATTTAATAAATCTATATCCATAAGAGGGTAATGCATAAATATAAAAATATATTCTTAGAAAACCAAAATAAATATTGGATAGCGCTTTTTTGGTATTTGGGTTTAAATACTTGTGAATAACTAAAAAAATTTTAAAAAATAGAGGTTTCTTTGACTTTAATTAATGAGTAGGTTTAGAATCGAAAAATAGTAGAAAGTTTGTAAGGAACATATTGCTGGCGTTATTGATCAAAATCTCTGTGTTAAACATTATTCTAAATAATTTTTTGAAATTAAAATTTGACCGAATGGCGAACTCAAAACTGGCCACTTACTAAATATTCGATCTAGTAACATTATTTGGAAAATGTTCATTTTGGTTTATTTATCTATATATACGTGTAAATCATTATCCCAAAAAATATTTTAAAAATATCGTGATTTGACCGATAACCGATATGAAACCGAAATACTGCGTTGCTGGCGGTCTCCATGTAAAATTCTTCATTTTTGGTTTATAAGTAAACAATAAAGTGTTAAGCAACATTTTAAATAATTTTTTGAAAATATTAAGATTTGACCGAATGGCGAGTTCAAAACCGACCACTTACTAAATATTCGATCTACCAAATTTGGTAGTAATATTATTTAGAAAATATTCATTTTTGGTTTATTTATCTATATATATACGTGTAAATCAATATCCCATAATTTTTACTATATTCTCAACATATGAATTTTTTTAAGTATATTATTTTCACCGAATTTTAGAAAATATAATATTGCTCACACATATTTAATTATGGCTTAATAACTCTGAAAATTAATAAAATGCAAAATCTTATATGATTTTTCAAAAAAAACTACTAAATAAATTTTTTTAGCTGTTATAAAAATTAGAGTTATGGTTAGGATTAGGATTAGGGTTAGGGTTAATGTTATTGTTAGGGTTAGGGTTATAGTTAGGGTTAAGGTTAGGGTTAGGGTTAGAGTTATGGTAAGCTTATAATAGATATCTGTTAGTGCTATTTCATATGTCTATCCTAAATTAATCTAATTAACAGTACTTCAAGTAATTTTTACTATATTCTATAAACATATGAATTTTTTAAGTTATATTTATTATTTTTACCGATTTTAGAAAATAACTTATGCTCAGACATATTTTAATAATTTTATGCATAATATGATTTTCGTAGTAATTATTGTCTTAGTAACTCGTAAAATTAAATAAAATAATTTTGTGAAAATCAAATAATAATTGTGCAAAATCCTCTATGATTTTTCAAAAAAATATAAGGAAAGCAGATAAAATTTTTAGCTTTTTTTAAAATTTATTTTGATTGAAGAAATTTAAAGCATTTTGGTTCAGGGTTAGGATTATGGTTAGTGTTAGAGTTAAGGTTAGCTTACAATAGATATCTGTTAGTGCTATTTCATATATCTATCCTAAATTACTCTAATTAACAGTACTTCAAGTAATTTAAACTATATTCTTAACATATGAATTATTTATTATTTTCACCGAATTTTAGAAAATATAATGTATTGCTCAAACAAATTTAATTATCTCTTAATAATTCTGAAAATTAAATTGCAAAATTTTATATGATTTTTCAAAAAATAATACTAAATAAAATTTTTAGAGTTTATAAAAATTAGGGTTATGGTTAGGGTTAATGTTATTGTTAGGGTTAAGGTTAGGGTTAGGGGTAGGGTTAGGGTTAGCTTACAATAGATATCTGTTAGTGCTATTTCCTATATTATATCTATCCTTAATTACTCTAATTAACAGTACTTCAAAATATTTTTTACTATATTGCCAACATATGAAATTTTTGAAGTAATATTGATTATTATCACCGAATTTTAGAAAATATAATATATGCTTAGATAAATTTATTAATTATAATGATTTTCGTAGTAATTATCTATGTCTTATTAACTCGTAAAATTAAATAAAATAATTTTGTGAAAATCAAATAATAATTGTGGAAAATCTTCTATGAATTTTTAAAAAATATAAGGAAAACAGATAAAATTTTTAGCAAGTGCATAATGATTTTTGTACTAATTATCTATGTCCTAGTAACTCGTAAAATTAAATAAAATAATTTTGTAAAAATCAAATAATAATTGTGCAAAATCTTCTATGATTTTCAAAAAATATAAGGAAAGCAGATTTAGTTTTTTTTTAAATTTATTTTGATAGAAATTTAAAGCATATAGGGGGGTTATGGTTAGGGGTAGGGTTAGGGTTAGGGTTAGGGCTAGGGTTAGGGTTAGGGTTAAGGTTAGCTTACAATAGATATCTGTTAGTGCTATTTCAAATATCTATCCTTAATTACTCTAATTAACATTACTTCAAAATTTTTTTACTATATTGCCAACATATGAATTTTCGAAATAATATTGATTATTTTCACCGATTTTAGAAAATATAATATGCTCAGACATATTTTAATAATTTTATGCATAATATGATTTTCGTAGTAATTATTGTCTTAGTAACTCGTAAAATTAAATAAAATAATTTTGTGAAAATCAAATAATAATTGTGCAAAATCCTCTATGATTTTTCAAAAAAATATAAGGAAAGCAGATAAATTTTTTAGCTTTTTTGAAAATTTATTTTGATTGAAGAAATTTAAAGCATTTTGGTTCAGGGTTAGGATTATGGTTAGTGTTAGAGTTAAGGTTAGCTTACAATAGATATCTGTTAGTGCTATTTCATATATCTATCCTAAATTACTCTAATTAACAGTACTTCAAGTAATTTAAACTATATTCTTAACATTAAATTATTTATTATTTTCACCGAATTTTAGAAAATATAATGTATTGCTCAAACAAATTTAATTATCTCTTAATAATTCTGAAAATTAAATTGCAAAATCTTATATGATTTTTCAAAAAATAATACTAAATAAAATTTTTAGCTTTTAAAAAAATTAGGGTTGGGGTTAGGATTAAGATTAGGGTTAGGGTTAGGGTTAGGGTTAGAATAGATATCAGTTAGTGCTATTTCCTATATTTTATCTATCTTAATTATTCTACTACTATAAGTAATTTTAACTATATTTCCAACATATGAAATTTTTAAGTAAAATTTATAATTTTCATAGAATTTTAGAAAATATAAAATATTGCTCAGACATATTTAATTATGGCTTAATAACTCTGAAAATTAAATAAAATGCAAAATCTTATATGATTTACTAAATAAAATTTTTAGAGTTTATAAAAATTAGGGTTATGGTTAGGGTTAGGGTTAATGTTATTGTTAAGGTTAAGGTTAGGGTTAGGGTTAAGAGGGTTAAGGTTAGCTTACAATAGATATCTGTTAGTGCTATTTCAAATATCTATCCTTAATTACTCTAATTAACAGTACTTCAAAATTTTTTTACTATATTGACAACATATGAATTTTTGAAGTAATATTGATTATTATCACCGATTTTAGAAAATATAATATATGCTTAGATAAATTTATTAATTATAATGATTTTCGTAGTAATTATCTATGTCTTATTATCTCGTAAAATTAAATAAAATAATTTTGTGAAAATCAAATAATAATTGTGCAAAATCTTCTATGAGTTTTTAAAAAATATAAGGAAAACAGATAAAATTTTTAGCAAGTGCATAATGATTTTCGTAGTAATTATCTATGTCTTATTAACTCGTAAAATTAAATAAAAAAATTTTGTGAAAATCAAATAATAATTGTGCAAAATCTTCTATGAATTTTTAAAAAATATAAGGAAAACAGATAAAATTTTTAGCAAGTGCATAATGATTTTTGTACTAATTATCTATGTCCTAGTAACTCGTAAAATTAAATAAAATAATTTTGTAAAAATCAAATAATAATTGTGCAAAATCTTCTATGATTTTCAAAAAATATAAGGAAAGCAGATTTAGTTTTTTTTAAAATTTATTTTGATAGAAATTTAAAGCATATAGGGGGGTTATGGTTAGGGGTAGGGTTAGGGTTAGGGTTAGGGCTAGGGTTAGGGTTAAGGTTAGCTTTCAATAGATATCTGTTAGTGCTATTTCAAATATCTATCCTTAATTACTCTAATTAACATTACTTCAAAATTTTTTTACTATATTGCCAACATATGAATTTTCGAAATAATATTGATTATTTTCACCGATTTTAGAAAATATAATATGCTCAGACATATTTTAATAATTTTATGCATAATATGATTTTCGTAGTAATTATTGTTATAGTAACTCGTAAAATTAAATAAAATAATTTTGTGAAAATCAAATAATAATTGTGCAAAATCCTCTATGATTTTTCAAAAAAATATAAGGAAAGCAGATAAATTTTTTAGCTTTTTTGAAAATTTATTTTGATTGAAGTAATTTAAAGCATTTTGGTTCAGGGTTAGGATTATGGTTAGTGTTAGAGTTAAGGTTAGCTTACAATAGATATCTGTTAGTGCTATTTCATATATCTATCCTAAATTACTCTAATTAACAGTACTTCAAGTAATTTAAACTATATTCTCAACATTAAATTATTTATTATTTTCACCGAATTTTAGAAAATATAATGTATTGCTCAAACAAATTTAATTATCTCTTAATAATTCTGAAAATTAAATTGCAAAATCTTATATGATTTTTCAAAAAATAATACTAAATAAAATTTTTAGCTTTTAAAAAAAATTAGGGTTGGG